CTCAACTTGCAAACAGCTACAACATTTTTTAGGATTCGCCAACTTGTACTACAGTTCATTAAAAATTAGTCAAACTGCTCAACCCCTCACTAGCCTTACCTCCTCCAATAAACATTTCATTTGGTCACCCGAAGCCAAAGGGCCTTTTTCGTAGCTCAAGAAAAGGTTTGCCAATGCCCAGATTCTGATCCAGCCTCTGATATAGGAGTGGGTGCAGGCATTTCTCAAATGTCCTTTAACAATATTAAACTTCATCCATGTGCCTTATTTTTTCCGCCATTTGTTTCAAGCAAAAAAAAAAAAAAAAACTACAATGTGGGCAAAAGAGAGCTCTTTCAGTAGCTAAGAAAATGGCTTTTGAAGAGTGGTGCCACTGGTTGGCTGGAGCTGAGCTTCCTGTTACTGTGTGGACTGACCACAAGAATCTAGCCTATCTCCAGGAAGCAAAACATCTTCTGTAACCTAGAAGATCACGTTTGACATTCTTTTCCCTTTTTAACTTTGTCATCTCTTACCATTCAGGCTCTAAAAAACACCAAACCAGATGTCTAGGCGATACTCTAGTGACCAGGAATCCAATATCTCAACTGTCACTCAACCTTCCTGCATTGTGGAGGCATTATCATGTGAAATCAAGGATCAAGTCCTGGAGACCCAGCGGCCTAAACCGGAACCTGGCACTGGACTATCGAACCAGCTTTACTTTCCTGCTTCCATTACGTCCCGCCTCGTTCACTGGGCCCACACAGAAACATTCTCCTGCCATCCTGGAATAAACCTCTCAAACACACATTTCTGGGGCCCTAGAATATATAAGTATTTTAATAGTCATGTTCTAGCCTGTCCAATGTGCGTCCACAACAAAGCTAGTCACCAGCCTCCCACCGGTCTTCTTGGGAAATAGCCTATTCCTAAATGTTTTTGGTCTAATCTTGCCTTGGATTTCGTAACTGGACTACCACCATCTAGGGGTTTCACCATCATCTTCACTAAAATGGAATGCTTTGGCTTCTCCAAAGCCTGCCACCTTATTCCTCTTCATCGACTTCCATCTTCCCTTGAGACAGCTCAGCTCCTGATTGAGCATGTTTTTCACCTACACGAAATCCCTTGTGAAATCCTTTTGGAGTGGGGCCCACAATTTGTCTCCAAATTCTTCTGTCTTCTTCTGTCTGGAAGGAGTTTTATATTTCTTGGGGGTGAAGACTGCTCTCAGCTCAGGTTTTCATCCCCAAACTAATGGTCAATCTGACCACGTGAACCAGGAGCTTGAGGCATCTCTCTGCTGCCTCTTTTCATCACACCCATATTAATGGAGTACTTAGGTGTCTTGGGTAGACTATGCACATTATTGTCACACCTCCTCTGTTACAGGTCTATCTCCATTTGAGTTGTCTCTAGGATACCAACCTCCCCTGTATCTGATGAGAACGACATTGCAGTTACCTCTTCTAAACACCACATTTGACGCTGCAGACTCATCTGGAGACTGAAGGTTTCTGCCTTGAACCTGTCAGTGGAAGCAAATCAACGTCTAGCCCAACAGACAAGAATTCATGCTCCCCAGTACCCACCTGGCTGACCACAGCCTTCCTCCATTTCCACACTAAGAGGTGAGCCACAAATCCTTTGAAAAAGAAAGAAAGAATAGCTCTCGTAAACCTTTTACCTGCTAACATGTGGGTGCGGTGTCTTTTAATATTTCAAAACTACAAGTCCCACGAGTGTCAGAAAAAAACATACAATGTAAAAGCTTTGAGAGATGTAGTTGTTACTGAAGCATATATGAACCCAATACATTTGGATCCTCACATGTATGTGTTCCTCAGGATGGGGGGTTGGAGGGGTCATCAGGCGAGCAAGATGTTAACGGCTTAATGCTCAGTGACCTTATATCCTCCAGCCAATCAAATCTGGACAGCGTGAAGGAGAGAGTATGAATCTCCAGAGGGTAAGTATTGATCCGACTGTGACAACTCCTGCAGTTTCAACAAACAAACAATGAGCTGACTACGGTGCTTTGCTCCAGTGTTCACACAATTGAGATCATTTACATTGATATACTGGTCATGCTATAATGCCACACTTTAAAGTATTTATTATGATTTATGAGATTTACCAACACAAAATAGTACCTCAATGTGAATGGTAGTGAAAATGGATTAAGGTTCTTAAAATTTTACTCAAATAAAAAAACTGAAAGGTGTGACATACATATGAATTCCCTTCCTTTTTGCTTGCCTACACTTTAATAAAGTTTGGTCAAATCTGTGACCTTCAGAAGATTCTTGTTAAGTAAATAAATGTATCTTAAGAGTCATTATGTCAGTTTTACTGAAAAAGCTGAATAACTTTTCTATTTGACCCTTTACGACTAAAACATGGTTTGATGAGCAGATGCATCTATAAGCCTGTAGCCTATTTTCCTGAAATTACTACGGGTCGGAAGTTCCTGAGCTGTTCTGTGGATGTGACGTCATGCGCGTCCATGTTAAATGGGTCCAACCTAGCAAACAATCAAAGTGTTATATTCAAAATGGATTTTGGGGATACTCTGAAGTAACCGGCATCGGGCTCAACACAAGCACCAATGGCAACACCACATAAGGTGAAAAAAGTATAAAAGAAAACTTAGTAAGTACGAGCCTGAGCTACAAGGGAGTGCAGAAGAGTGCTGCAGTTTTATGTCTTACCCACAGGTGGCAGTATGATTAGATAGCTCTGTTATGCCTGTTTAATACCAGTTTAAAACAAACTTTTCTGTGAAGACTGTATGAGTTTTTTAAAGAAAACAAAGAATATTTGCTACTATACACCTCCCAAAACATGGTCGTCCACTTAAAAAAAGGGCTCTGGAACATTTAGAATTCAGAGCCCTTTGCAGATAGAGCTAAACCCAAAAATGATCTGTCTGTCTGTCTGTCTTACTGTCTGTCCATCCAGCCAACTATCTAGCTGTCTAAATATCTTTCATATGTCTTACATTTCAAAAGATGACAAGCAAAAACCTTTTGCAAAACAAAAACATCTTTTTCATCTAAAATTGATATTAGTGAAAAATACATGTGCAAGGAATTATTTCCTAAGCAAACAAATAGCTTAAGATAGGATATTAGTGTTTTAAGTGTCTTCGTGTATGACATTTGTTTTATGAAAAAAAGCTTACATCTGCCTTTGTTTTCATAACGATTTTTAAACACCGTTTGATATTTATAATCTTTTAGCCAAAGTATTTTGGCCATTGTTGAAGATCCAAATGGCCACTTTTGGCTTTGGAACTGCAGGTTGGGAACCCCAGACCCAAACCAACCAATTTATCAGAGAAGGAGCTGCAGAGATTCACACCTCAAGGAAAGGTTAATAGTTGTCCTTTTGACAGGAACACTATTACCTCCTCAAAACACAAAGCTGACCTTTATGGATGAGTGGGAAGATGAAAGCCATATGAAGTCATAGTTGCAGTCTGGAAGAAAACATTTATGGGACACAGCAGGCATATGCAAGGAAATTCTCCAGCCAAATGACAGTAGGATAAAACCTTCGGGCACAGGTGGGGAAAAATTAAACTAAGATACTGCCTAATAATCTATCAAAACAATGGAAAATGGTGGCGGCAGCATGTTGTAGGGATGTATCTCTTCATCAGGGGTAAAGAAGTTGATTAAGGTCGATGGGAAGATGGACAGAGCAAAATAGAGGACAGAAAGAAAACATGTTCAACTTCAAGCAGGACAATATTAGCGTGAGCTATAAATGAATGGTTCAGATCAAACACATTCATGGGTTAGGTTGTTTCAGTCAAAGTCTACTCAAAAATAAAATTGAAAATGAATGAATGAATGCTCTGCACAGGCGAATGGCCAGAAATATTAATATTTAAACATGGAAAAGTAGTATAGACATATCCTAAAAGACCTGCAGCTGTCATTCAAGGTATTAAATCAGAGAAGAAGACAAACCGACTCTTCAAATTTTTATTTTTGAAAAGATTTTGTTTTTGAAAAACTGCAAATAAAAAAATATTAGAATTTATGGTTCATCATCAAATCCAGCTTAAATACATAAAAATATGTGGTTGAAAAACGTGGCAAAGTAAAACCAATGTGTATGCTTTTTATTACAGTCGGGTGGGTAAAATCATTTTTTCTTTTCTTTTTGCATTTTCAAGCAGCAGTCCCCCTGTCACTTTGTGCCCTACATGAGTCCATCCAGCTCCCTCTTCCAAGCACAGTTGCTGCACCTATCTTGGCTTCAAAAACCAGGCTAGGCAGAAGCGCACTGAGCAAAGCGCTTTCTCAATTTTAAGCCACATCTATTTGCATCTGAGATATAGCTGTCAGTTTATAATAGTTTATAATATAAAAAAAATGCCCAGCTTTAATTGAGGAATCTCCTTTTTTTGTTTATTGTTTTAGATACATCTGGAGTTCCCTCTCAAATGAGAGAGCATTAACTGGAAGAGCACCCCAGCCATTTCCATTTCATATGCCCATTAAGGGCTGCATGTGAGTAACGATCGACTCTAATAACATAACCGGTGAGGTTATTTTTAGCCCGCATGAAGATGCGCTCAGCAGTGGTGATGGCGATGGCTTCCTCAACCCCCCCTCCTTCCTACACCACAATGACGCTGTGATGTTACGCAAAAGCAGGGGTTCACCTTTTGCAGACCTCCAGATTTCCACAGAAGCAAAAACAGGCGCAGGGAACATACCAGGAGTCTAAAATCAACGTGAAGAAAAAATGCATCACAGAGAAGAAGAAAGAGGGAGAGGCGTGTATTAACTTCTGCTTTTGGCCCAATTTAATTCCCTGTGACGCCTCTGCAGAGGCACTTGTCTGAACTTGGAGTTGGACACACCCTGCATCCCGTCCTGTGTGATGGTGTCGCGCACCTTTACAAAAATGACCCCAGTTTCAAACATAACATCACAACACACAGTCACACCGATGAAACACGGAAGCGTCAGCGTGTCAGGACAGAAAAGCGCACACTTAACTATTTGTAGAGGTGCTGGAGACACAGGTCCAGGCATTCCCCCTCCACTTCGTCCTCAGACACCAGGTCCGACAAGGGGCGCATTGGCACCGGGTCGCTCTCCTGCAAAGGCATCCTCATCTCCCGGACAAAGAGCTCCAGGAACCGTCGGAAGGTTTTCTCCTCTGCTGCAGAGCCGGCCATCATTTCTCATTCCTGGACAGACAGACACAGCTCCGCCCGTCAGGGACAAACACTAACTTGTCGGGTGTTTAAAAAAAAAGGAGAAGAGTCAGAACACTTTAACCTCCAACTAGTGTTGGTGTTACCGCGTTGCCATACTACCTGAATAACTGGGTAATACCGGAGGAGCGGGGCCCGTGGACTGCCGGGGAGTCGGAGAGCGGCGGACTGGAGCGGAGGAGCGAGCCGTGGATTAGGTAGACGGACTGGACGAGCTGTCACCGGCTGGACTGAGCCCCCATTCAGAGCTGAGCGGGAGCGCGCGCCGCGTTATCAGGGATTTCGGCTGATCTGAAGGTGACGTCAGATAGCAGACGGCGGTTGTCACGCACGCGCACGCAGCCTGCGCTCCCTGTTTGACGTCGGAGAGCTTTTTGTAGACATGCCATCACGAAGGTGCATTTTCTTGTTGGGTGGGCGTAAAACGACCTTTACCTGAAATAAAGAATAGGCACGTAAGCAATAATAAATAAATAAAATAATAATTACCTTTACTTGAAAAAGAAATAGGCACTTTAGAAACAAAAAGAAAAGAAAAAAATGGTTTGTCTTCTCCCTTATATGCATTATTTGTTAATTAACAACTAAAGTCTGATTAGGTTTTCCCTTTAATGAACTTTGCAACAAGACAGAAGAAATGGAAACAAACAATTTCAATTTAGTTCAGTTTATTTATATAGCACCAATTCACAACACATGTCATCTCAAGGCACTTTACAGTCCACCAGATCATGCAGTCAAATTGACTCAGTTTCCCATCCAAGGAAAACCAGTTGATTGCATCGACTCATTGACTCGAATGCAATCCCTCACACTAAGCATGCTTGTAGCGATAGTGGAGAGGAAAAACGCCCTTTGAACCCCAGTCAGCCGAGGCCGACTGGGGTTCAAGGAGACAGAAGCAGGGATACAAAAAGCAACTAAAACGGGGCCCCATCCAGGAAACACACAGCCAGGCAGAGGAGCTCCAAACCAACTTCCATGTCAGAAGATGAAGAGAGCGCATCCAGCCAGTCACAGTCAGAGAAACAGCACTACATTGGAAAACAGGCTGATCTCCAACATCTATAAACAGATTATTGATATCTCTCAATAAAAAGTAGCATCATCAACAACCTAATTTGTTTTAGTATTATTTACTGCAAATATTTTTAATTAAAGTCTGTAGTTTGTTTGTTGGATCCTCCGTCTCCTATCTTTCTTCCTTAAGAGTTGGTTTTGCTCCCTAACAGGGCTGAAACAATTAATCAGATGAACAGCAGTTAATCGATTATTAGAATAAGCGTGAATTAATTTAGTAATTGACTAATCATTAACTGGAGTATAGATTCCAAAACAAGCCATTATTTAAAAGAGCAATCAGCTTAGATCAGTAATTATGGCAGTATTGTAAAATAAATAAATAAATACATGCATAAATATATTGCTTGGAAGATGAAAAATTGTTTTTGGCCATTCAGAAGTCAGGCTTAGTTTTACCTGGTTTCACCTGGTTTAAATTCTGTATAAAATCTTTAAGGAACCTTTTGTCTTTGAATTATTAAGCCTTTATAGGGCAAGTCACTTGCACAGCCCTTAGAAATGGAGTCATCCCCACCCCACCCCGTCCATCAGTGACGTCTAGAAGCACAATATCTATATCCAGCCATTCAGCAAAGATCCTGCTACATGGCTGTAGATCTTATTTTGTCATTTTACCAATTAGATGAGCCCTTGAGTGATGTATTACTACTGTAAATTAAGATGAAAAAAAAGTTAGGATGTCAAGAAAAAAGGTAAAAAGCTAATTGAAAAGTTAAACAGTAAAGTTAAAAGGTTAATAAGCCTCTAAGGTTATGTTGTACCTAAAAAAAAATGTGTTTCTTTTACTCTCAGAGTGTTTTTCATGAATTTCTTATAGAAGCACTTTTTTATTTTTCTTGATATATGCAGGCAAGTTGGTGTTTCTTGTTATTACATTGACATTCATTTATGCCATCAAAACATACATATTTTATGAATGTTACAAAGGTAATAAGGTCTTGTCCTTGATTCCAATAACACGCTACAAAAATGATTTATAAATTTGAGAATATGTCTTAAAATAAGTATATTTACCCTTAGTTTGAGTAGGTAAATAAGAAAATCTCACTGTGGATGGAGCATCTTTATCCTTAAAATCTGATTATTTATCAGATTATTTGATATTATGCACTTGAAATAGGAGACTGTATTTCCTTAATTTAAATGTAAATGTTCTTACTCCATTTGCAAAGTGTCTCACTTACCTGCTCAATTCAGGAAAAAATGCACTTATTTTAAGAAACATTGACTTAATTAGATTACAGTTTTTTGCAGTGCCCTCTTGCTTGAAATTTAGATATTTAAAGCCTTTCACTGATTAATTTGATTAACCCTATAAAGTGTTAATCAAATTATCTGAAAAATAATCAAAAGATTAATTGATTAGCAAAATAGCTGTTAGTTTTAGCTCTATTCCCTAATCATCACTGACTCAAAAAAATATCTCTGCACTAAGTAATCTTACATCCTTTTTCCTTCCGCTCAGCCCTGCCTTTAAATGCATGATAAAAGCCTGCTCTGTTTTTCTGTTTTTTTTTTTTTTTTTGCTGCTTAACCTCCTTGTAGATTTGGTCAAGGCCTGTTTGACAGCTGTCATGTTGGCAGACTTCAATATCATACAGGTCATAAAACAACTTTACTGTGGGTGTTTATTTATTTTGCTTGTGTAACAAATGAATCATTATCTAACTAAATAGATGAGACATTAAACACTGCTAACATTGTAAAGCAGCAGCTACGCCCCCTGTCCTTAATTGGCAAACATGAGAAAGATGTGTAAAGCATCACAGTACTTTGGAAAAAATAAATTACCTCTAATGAGTTCCCGTTTCCATGGGGTGTAAATATGAGGCGATGGAGGCGTCCGTCTCACAGATGTGATCCTCATACATGTCTGTATGATTATAGCTGACCACCATTAAGAATCTCATTGAGAGCTTCAAACAACAGGAATGGTAACAAGAAAAGCTGGATATTGACATTATCCTGTGCAGTATTATAATCCACATCACAGCCAACAGTCTGGGAGAGATGCAAAGAAAAGGCCTTATCTGTCCTACCATCACATCCAGAAACAACTAGAGTTTTTCAGACTGTTTCTATCTACTTTAGTCAAGTGAGGGTAGAGTTACAGTTTATACATAGATTATGGATAGATGTGTATTTATTTAAAGTGGCATGCATTTTCTTAGAAAAGCTGATATTCGATCTGCTTGTATTAATGTAACCATTAGAAATGAGAGCTAAAGAAATTTAGACAAACACTCCATCGTTTTAGTTATGAGGCCCCAAAGACAACTTGTAAAAATCCTTAAAAAATATCTGGATCTGTTGATTAAGACTGTTATAGTGACATGAAGAAGTGTTCTTTGAAGTATTCAAAAAATGAAATGACCTGAGGCTTTTGCACAGGGCCTTTAAGCTTTACTGGTTTGGATTGAATTCTCTTATCTTTGCTCTGAGAACATGCAGGTGCTCCTGTTGTACATTAGTGACAGTAATCCCTCAGTGGGAGGAGGGTTTATCCAGTCCAGGAACGGGCGGATGTGGAGCTTAACCCCTTACAGTGGATCACATGACTTCACAGCTGACCATAAATAACAAAAAAGATCAGCCATAGGGATCAGACGGTCACAAATCCTTAAAAGCAAACATACCCTGATCTTGTCTATTAAGAGTCCAGTTGTTGTTCTTTTAAAGCTTGCGTTTTGTGTCACACAGATTGTGTGATTTGTCAGAATGGTTTTGGTACAATTTTACCTCGACTGCGCTTCCTTTTAGCTGTAAGATTCACATAAATATCTCTGTATATGACTTTATTATCAGTGCCAAGAAAAATGAAATGCACTCTAAAATATTTCTACTGTTGTTTGAATTTTATTTTACACTTTTCATTTCAAACGTATCTTATTTATTTTCAGTATATATAAGGAGGCAAACAAAGTAAAAACAGCAGATTTAGACTAATACATGATGGATGAAAATGTTAAACAACTCAGAACAGAAACAAAAATGGGCGTGAAATGACCAAAACTTTAAAAAGATGTAATAGCAAATGTAATAAAGTTATGAAATTATTTTATACATATTATCTGATTAATTCTAAAGAAAACCAGTTTGGCTTTAAAGCTAAACAGGGCACTGATCTTTGCATATGTACATCTTTGCATTCAGATATACAGAGACTTATGGCTAACTGGTACACTAACCAGACCATGTAGGTAAGAGGAAACTGTAATGTTTCATTCCTATTTGATGTCAATTACAGGGGGCCAGGGTGAGGTCAATGTTTTTTCATGGGGGCAAAGGAAAAAAGCCCTGATCAAACAGATGAAAGATAGGAACTTTTCTTAATGTAGGTAAAGCTTCCAGCTGACTGTAACTTCTAAGGGATTCTTTAAATGAATTGTAAAGGAGAAATATTAAATAGATCCAAGGGACGAATCAGTCGAGGTATTTTCTGTTCATCAAACAAAATTGATTTAGTATTACATTGCAAAAATAAATTAAAATAAATAAATTTGTCCTTAGTTTGACAAGGTAAATAAAAAGGAAAGAGTATGTTTGCCTTTAAATTGCAATTTTTGCTGTTTTTGTTTTCAGTACATTAGCAGGGACCTGTTCTACGGAGGCCCTGGCCCCTGTCTGCCCTGTCTAGAACCGCACATGTCAGCAATTTCTTTAAACGGGAGGGAGGGTTCCCATCAGCTGTTATTTTAATTTGTATGACCGGTCTCAGAAGCTGGAAATGGTGATATTGTTTGTTTTATTGGAAATCTTTGAATAAATTGTATTATTTATGCAGATATTCCATTAAAAATGCTGGTCTTCAACAGCTGCTGACCATATCAACGCCATAGAGGGTAGAGCAGTGGTTTCAAACCCTGCTCTGTATGTACCTCTGTCCTGCATATTTTAGATGTAAACAGTTGCCACACATCCGACTTGTATAAATGATCGAGAAGATCATTCAATTATTTGAATCAGGTCAGCTGGAACATAGTCATACAGAATATGCAGGGCAGGAGTACCTAAGAACCAGGGTTGGGAACCACTGGTGAGGTGCATGAATACAAGTTCAATGCTTGTAAGAGTGCTTTCAGAATCTGGCGAACTAAAGAGGATAAATATAAACATTTTAAGAATTCAAATGTCAGATAGTAAGGTTGGTGTCAGTGACAGAATAACAGATCTTGGTCACTTCATCACAGTGTACCTCACATAAC